TGTCGTGCCCGTGTTGCCGGGACACGAAGGAAAGTTCGAGATCGGTGATGCGGGTGCGGCAGGGTGTGTGGCGGTGGAGAAAATGTAGTAGAGTTTAGACTACCTTTTGTAGTATTATATATATATAAAGGTTTATTTGAATAAATACACTTGTATGTGTTTTAGTTACAACTCCCGTACTTATAAGTTAATATGCGTACCGCGCGTAAGTCACGTATGACGCGGATGTCGCGGCGAGAGACCGAGATGTTAAGCCTGACGCGAGTGGTCTCTCCGCTTTTTTATAGTATTGTTTTAGACTTGTCGGAGGGGGTGCCTGGCGACAAGAACATTACCATATTTGGTAATGGTGTCATGCGTTTGGAATTGAGGTCCTAAATGCGGAATGTGCAAGGTGGTGCTTATCGCAGCACTTGCACATCGCTTGCTTGTTGTGGCGCAATTGAAACAATTCCTCGAGAAGTGTTTCGAAAGCGCTGGTACCATTCGCGATTATAACATCCCTCCCCCCTTGGGAAAAGAAAACGGAGTGTCTAGCGAGGTTTTCGCATTCTTATTCTACATACATTTTTTCTTTTGTTTCCGTTTACAATTGTGGTTATAATCGTTTGTACTTGTTATATTTTATTATACTGTATTTGTGTTACAAATTTGTTTTCCCGTATATAAATGTAATTACAATCGTGTATTGTTTATATCTTATTTGCATAAGCTGTGTCTGCGTACTAGTGCAGGGATTGTGGGTATATAATGGTTCCTGTATTTTATGCATTCAGCTAATTCATTTTCGCGTAATATTATGTATGTGTTTGTTTCCTGACTAACCGCGATTTTAGTGTGTGTGACTTTAGTTAAAATAAAAATATTGTCGTGACTGTGTACATACAGGAAACGGGTGTACATGGATTATTTCGTATGTTGGATAATCTATGAAAGGTAAGTTTAATATAGTGAAAATATTTTTGTCCTTATAATACGCGCTGATTGTGCAGAATTTTTTCTATTTCTAGCCAGTGCTCCATGGCAGGTGTGAATGGAAAATATATGTTTTTAGGTAAGTGTATTGTTGATTTCTTAAGTTGTGCGATTATATTTTTAATGGGTGTAAGTTGGGGTAGTAATCTTCCCAACTTGGCGTTATCTATGTATGATATTATGTCATTATGTATGATATTATGTCTTTCGTTAGGTCGTTTATTACTGCGTTAAGTATCGTGTAGTGTTCAGTAATTTGTTCTTTTTTGTAGATTTCTGCTTCTTCTTCATAAAATTGATTCATACTATTCCATTTTATTTTGAAATTATTGTCTAATGTTTCTTCTAAGTTACCTAAGTGTCCTATAGTTTCGTTTAGAATTTGTAACTGATTTTTTATTGCGTGTTGTATCGTTTCCTCTTTGTTTTGTAATAAATGTAATTGTTTGTTTATAATCTTTCCGTTGTCGGCATCCATCGTTCCAAATAAGGATTTGTCTATTAAACCTACTCCATCTATTAATCTACGACGTAAGTTTGGAGTGGACTTATACATTTTGTTTATGCTATTGGTTAATTTTCTTGCGCGTTGTAAATCTTTATCGGCTAGGTTATATAAATTAGTGCACATTTGCCACGTTGTGCCTATCTGTTGCTGTGTATCACATATTTTTTGTGTTCTGACGAGGTAGGTTTGTATTTGTGAAATTCGTTGTGTTAATGAGCCTGTGTTGATTTCATCTTTCGATTTTAATTCCTTGCGTTTCGTATTACGTGCCTGTTGAGCGTCCTTCGACTTATCCTTTAACCTACCTTTTTTCTTATTCTTTGACGTAGCCTCTGGCGCGCGTTTATTATCTTGAACATTTACCGTCATTCCTTTCTCGTCTGTTTTAACAGACGTTTTAACGTCGGTGCCTTTGGCATCCGATTTGGACTGAGTAAGATAGCTGTTGTCGCTTACCGACACGTTTTCTTTAGCGAAATGTGTTTCCTCTGCTGGTTGGGCATAAGTTTCCGCTATAGGTTCGATTAGAGATTTAGATGAAGAGTCTATCTTGAGTTTATCTGTATCTTGCGTATTAGACTTCGTTTTATCGGATCTTTTCTGTTTGCCTGTTTTCGTCTGACCTTTCTCCGTTTCTCGCTTCTCAGTTTTTTCATCGTTCGTATCACTAATGAAAGCTTTATTCTCACCTATTTTCTCCGGACTCTCTGGGGACATTGCCCTTTCTATTTTTAATTTAGCGTCCGTTTGACGATACTCTATTCTTTTGTTTTCAATTGACTCCTTAGCTTCAGTTTCATTGCGCTCTATTTTATCATTCTTATGTATGATATCAGTTTGTATTATTTCTTCAGTTTGCCAATTTATTTTAGGCGACAAGACGATTTCCTTGGGCTCTTCTTTAAAATCGGTTTCCTTAATAACTGTTGTTGGCGTCTCTATAATTCTCGAAATTTCTTCGGTTATTTGCTTTAGTTTCGGGACAATCACTTTCTCTGTGTTATCTGAACATGTTAAAATTTTTGTTTTATTTAAAACTTCGCTTGTTGGCACTGTCGATGACGTAAGATCGATAATGACTTCTGTTTCTATTTTACCTTTTGAGGCTTTATCTTTTTTGTGCGAATTAGCTTTACCTTTCACGTTGCCGTTTACCTCAACAACTTTTGCGCTGTCGAGCACTTTTGGCTTCGGATCTTTGACTTTAGTATCAACCAGCGATTTGTTGGATTCGGGAGAACTATTTTTGAGCATCTCTTTAACATCGTTTTCCAACTTCTCCCGATTCTTATTATTACCCTCAACTTCAAGCTTCAGTTCCTTCGGTACGACTAGTAAAGGTGCATTCCATTGGCTAGCACTATGTCGTACTACTTTATTGTCTAACATTTCTTTTATTTGTTTATTTACTTCTTGTTTATGTTTTTCGGGTAACCGGTACGGTTGTATGTTTACTGGAGCTGCGTCAGCTCGTGTGGCAATTTGATGTTCCACTACTGTTGTATGTGTGAGGCTATCTCCTTCTATAAAAAATATGTCATTGAAATTTTCACATATTTCGTGTATTATTTTTCTTTCCTTATTATTTAAGTGTTTTAAACGTAATTGTTCCTTTAGTTTCTCCGTTCGTGCCGATTTCTTGCTGTTCTTTTGTTCAGTAAGCAAATTTATTTTCGTTATATTCTCATCCGTAATGTCTTCTATAGTGACATACGGTGTGGCTATTTTCACACTGTTTTCAGTAGTATTTATTATTGTGATAGGGCACGTGTGATTGCTTGCTTTTATCAAGCAATTTCCTATAAAAATTCCTGGCAAAATCTCCTCTGCCGGAATAATTCCTTCTTGATCAGAGCTTACTGTAGCCTGTATTATATTTTCGCTACGTGCGGGAAGGCTATATGTTTGAAATGGTATTAATGGCAAGTTTTGTCCGGAAACTCTCAATGTTCTTTCCTTATAGTCAAACTTGGCCTGATAGGTTTGTAGGAAATCGATCCCTAGTATTCCTTCATAATCTATTGGGAAATCATCCCTTACTACGTAAAGTTCCATTTGTCTTAATTGCTTTCCTATGTCTACCGTAGCTTTTATTTTTCCCAATGTATGGGCTTGATGTCCCGTGATTCCTGTTAGAGTTAGTTTT